TGTGGAGTTTGATGGTGGTGGGTGCTCGTGGATAGTGGTGGTGTTGTTGTTGTCATCTGTTTGGCTGCCACATCACAGGCAGTGGTCGTTGCTGTTCATTGCTGGGTGGTCGTCACTGTTGTGGGGTCATGTGGGATCGTGGTGGCGTGGCGTTGTCGGTTTATCATGGCTGTCGTGGGGGTGGGGAAGAGGATGGTTGGTGGTGGTGGAAAGGAATGGATGGTATTGAATGTGTTTGGTAATGTTGCCTTTGTTTGGTAACAGAAGTAAAACAAACAAACAAAGGACCAGATTCCGTTGCATTCCGGAATGCCCAAATTTCACTGGAATGGTAAGGCGCCAGAATGATGAAAATGGCAGGCCTCCCTGCCAAATTTCATTCCTCTGGAATCCACTGGAATGACTGGATTGTTGCAGGAATTAGGGGGGCACTGATAAGACCTCACCACAACCACCAACATCAACCATGACACCCTTCAACAACAACATGGCGACGCCACTTCACAAAACAATGAATGCCAGAACCCACAAAAATGCCGCAACACCCACAAAAACACCCCAGCACCCACAAAAACCACACCCCGCCCACGAAACGACGCCCAGCGCCCACGTACACTGCCAGCAGACACAAAACAGTGCCCAACAGATACAAAACAATGCCTGCAGACACAAAACAACACCCAGCCGACACAAAAGAACACCCCAGCACCCACAAATGACATCCAGGCCACGCCAAGGATGATGACAACGACGGGATGACCTGTCCACACCACGGATGACGATGACGATGATGGAAGGCATGACTGATGCCTACCTCCAGTGGTTTTCGTCCCTCAGAGACGCTGCTTTGGCGAACAACGACCCTTCTCCGTCCTCCCATGAATATCAAGACAAATATGTTGTAAAGGTGTTAGATACTTTCGGTACATTCTATCTAATCACCTTCTCCCCCAATTCTAATGCTTTCTAAGCCTCCGGCCAAAGGGATGTGGCTTTACGACAAGGTGATGCAAGCATGTCTGCCGCCTTCATTTGTGAGGGTCTTATCCCCTGTGCCCCACATTTGCCGACCGTTGGCGTGACCATTCGCATCCTCGAGCTATACCGCAATGCCAGCCTTCGATGCCCCCATCTTTCAATCCACGCCTTCGTCGAGGCACTTTGTGATCTTCATGGCACCCACCGAGAGACTGTTGATCTTTGGGAAAGAGACATCGTGCTGCAGTGGATTAAATACCAAGGCGACAAGGTGGTGCGTTCTACATCTATTTTACTTGCTTCTCTTTTTTTTTTTTTTTGCTGAGTACTTTGTTTTAGCCTCCCAAGGTCGACGAAACTACTCCATGCGAAGATCGCTGGACCAACATGGCCAATGAAGCTTCGAAGAAGAGAACCAAGGGCATATATGATGAGACAGGGGGATTTCTATTGTTCTGTCGCCATGGCTTTGTCCTGGTCATCATTGACATGGTAGTGAGTGGCAAGCTGTAAGTCTTTCCCATCCCATTTCTTGTTCCTTCCCATTCACTGCTAATTAATCACCGTCCACAGTTCCAAATACCCTCTAGGAACCATGAAAGCTTTGCTCAACACTTTTGGGCCGAAGATTGGGGGCGGATTGGCTGCAAGTTCAGAATCACGCTGGCACACAGCCCTCTCAGACGTCGTGCCCAAGAACTTAGATACCGGGCATTGGTTGGCAGCTTCCATGGGCATGCCCACAACTGCCTTTGCCAACTTCTCTTCCTGGCCACCTATATCGAGGGCTTGGGCCTCAAGGATCTCAAGGGCGGTGAGCGTTTTTTCTCCAAATCGAATGCCCTCGCCTCCTCCATTCGCCATGCAATTGTATTCCATCAGAAACAAAAGATCGTCGAGTTTGCCAAGCACATGGATCAAAACGAAACCTACCAAAACCTTAGTACGTTGCCTGGCCCTTCTTCTCCTTGCTGCTTACTCAACGTGGAATGGAAGCAGGCCGTAGTGATGGTGGGCAGGCGGAGGTATCAGAGGTGCCTCGATGCCCTTGAAGGCCTAATCGTCGCGAGGATGTTCGAACTGACCAAGATGAACATGTCACAAACCGGTGTGTTTTTTTCTTTTGACTATACATCTATCTAATTTGAGCTGACAGGGTATAAGCTTTCGAAGCACATCGGAAATGCCATCAAGGCACGTTTGCAGGCTGTACGCACTGCGCTCTACGATTACAATGTTGCCGCCCAAGCTCTGGTCCCCCCATGACCGCCTTTGTCATGAGATGACGTCGTTGAGTATGCATTCCTGGCTGACTTCGACTTGCTTTCAGATACGCGCTCGGATGTCTGCCTTAAAGTATGGGCCAAACCGGCCTCTCGCATTTTAATGGACCAGCATTTCAAGTTAAAGAGAGCACGTGAGGAGATTCTCCAGCTCAACATCAAGATCCCTCAACTCAGGAATACGAGGAAGCGGTGAGGGCTCAGGACATTTTGCTGCAGATCTGCTCTCATGTGGAGGACCAACTTGAACAGTTGGACTTTATGATCAGCCTCAAGAAAAAGGCTGTTCAACTTCAATCCAAGGGTGTGAGTTCAGGAGCTGTACTTAAGGTGTCAGATGGAATGGATGATGGGCCTTAGTTTTTTAATTACATTTATGAATACTTGCGCCTTTGGCTTCTACAAGGTATCCGGAGATCCATCACATTTATGAATACTTGTGCCTGCAGCTTCTACAAAGTATCCGGAGATCCATCACATTTTTCAATACTTGTGGCAGCGTCTTTCCTTTCGTTAATTAATACTTGCACCCGTTCCTTCTAGCAAGTATTTGAAGATGTATAACATTGATTAACACTTCCCCCCACATCTTCTACAATGTATTCAGAGATCACAAAAGCTTGGATCTGTTGGATGGAATGGATGCAGGTCGGTAGTTTGTGACTTACATTTATGAATACTCACACCACATCTTCTACAAAGTATTGGGAGATGGATCATGTTGTGCCATAGTTGTGTCCCTGCTTTTCATTGATTAATACTTGTGCCTGTGTCTTCTACAAGGTCTCCATATTAGCTGTTCAGAGGAATGTATCCAGATCTTTCAAAAGTGCACTGGTCACATGGGCCCAACTTTTGGCTATCAGTAGATTATATTTTGGGTACCTATGGTACCATTGATTATAGCAATAATCATGTCCTTTTAAGCACATGTTGCCCAACCTTTTACCCTTGATTATGGCAATGACGAGGTCTGATGAATACCCATTGGGCCACACATGAATACCATATCTTAGGTACATCCATCAGGTACTATAGTGACATCTATGTATACTTGTGCAGTAGCTATCAATGTGAAAGCAGATAGTATGAAAGCCAACTTGGTCATGATGTCAAAAATGTGTCATGTCATGTCAATCCTTAATGTTTACAGGTCCGGTCCATAGGACAGAAAAAAACCGGTGGACCGAACTGAACCGGACCATGGTCTGGTCTTTTTTTTGGTTGCAGTTGCCCAAATTTGGGGTTGGTCCGGTTGCCGGTGGCCTCATTTCAAAAATCTTTTAAAACTGTTCAAAGACCAGTTTAAATCAGTTGCAACCGGTTAAACGGTCACGTGTGTTACGTAGCCTTGTAACCACGTCTATTTTAGTTCATCAAAAACGGTTAAGAACTGAGAAAGATATAACTAAATCCATTTTGGCACAAATACTTGTTTGTGCAACTTGTACCAGAATGACTTTAATTCTAACTCACTCAAACTTTCATCATTTTGCTTGATTCAATTTTTGGATATTGAAATTTTAAGTATGAAAATATACTCACCATCTATCAATATATGGTATGCATCAAATAATTTACAGTTGCTGTATTACATTTTGCCCAAGTCTTAAGGAGGTGTAATTCGGTTTCAGTCATAGCTATGTCAAGCATTCATTAAATTTCTTAAGAATTGGTGGAATGATGGGTATTTATATGTTATACTATGTTATATAACCAGTTTATTTTTTAGAGTAATAATAATTGAGATACAAATGGTTTATATTGGTATGACAAATTTTACACAAAAAGACCAGTCTGAATCGGTTTGAACGCGGTCCATGGACCGCAAAAGACCGGTCCTAGGTGGTCCGGTTCAGTTCCCTCAATATCTGGGTTGGTCCTAGACCGGTTGCGGTCTGCAGTTGCCTGTTTTCAGGGCAAAAAACCGGACTGAACCGGACCTGCGAACACTATCAATCCTTCAGCCATATCCCACATGAACTTATAATTATGTTTTAAGATAGTACAGTAGGTATCAATATGAAAGGCTTAGAATGTCCTTTCCTAATGTGAAAGACAACTTGTGCATGATGTCAAAACCTAATGCTGCAGCACTGACAATATGATGGCAATCCTTCAACCTCATTATCATATTTGGCAATGCGCCCTGGACCCTGAAAATGGTGCCCAATGTCATCACTAACAGTAAGCACCATCCCCCATTTTTCTTCTGATTTTTCCCTATTTTATTGCTATTTTTCATTTGGAAATGCACATTCTGATTGCTTCAGATAACAGCACTGGCTGCAAAGGAAGTGAAAAAGCTGTGGAAATGTTTGTGAAACAAAGTGGAGGGAGAACTAGGTGACTCACAATTGGACTTGACCTGCTAGGCATTTTGTCATCACCATTTTCAACATCCTCCTCAATGTCATCTAAGGTGTTAGCAGTGTGGACACTGGAGATGAAAGCAGAAGATGGGCCTGGGCTTTGGGAGTGGAGACAGATGGAGCATCGAGGGTTTGAAGGAGGGGGAGGTGGTGATGAAGGGGCGCTGGGTTCTGGTTCGACAACAGGGGAATCATCAATGTCCATCTTGTTGACTGTTGGTTGGACTGATTCAGGGATGTCCATCTTGTTGACTGTCAGTTGGACTGATTTGGGATGTTAACTTTCATCTTCATGCAAGTTATGGGTGAAACAGGTGGAGGGGGTTAATGTTGTACACCTTTGCCCACCGATTTGTGTTGATGCAGACAATACAGCTCATTGTCATCCCTGTCACTGTCCGATGCCTCAGCTTCACCATCTGCCCATGCTGCTCAGTGGGCGAAAGTGAGTGCTGGCATTTCCTTCTTCTTGGTTTGCACATCGGAGTCATAAGGGTCCAGCTCAGCTCCAGATCATCATCCAAAAGGCTCTACATGAGACTGAGATGAGCAAGATTTTCCTGAAAGGCCTGGTTGAATGTGAGTTATGAGAGGTAGCATAAATAGAAAGTCACGCTATAGGCAAAATACCTTGTGGAGATGAGTAATGACATCGGCGATATTATTGTCAATCTCTTGCTGCCTGGAGCAGCAGTGGAACTCAACAAACTTTGAAATCAATCTAGCTGAACATTTCCCTGTCAGTACTTGATACAAGTATGAGTCTATCATTTGCATTACCTTTATGAGTACATTCTGTGAAAAGCATGTACCTTGAGTGCTTAAGCACTTTTCTCCACATGGGATAAACACCACCACCATGTGTCAGCATGCACACTTGTGAGTTTCCATGTCAGACAGGGAAGTACAACATGACCCACAATGTGAACCATGGATTTTAGGGTACACTCACTGGCAGCTGTCTACTCTCCTGAAATTGAGTGGTCAAATGCTAGGTGACTGACACTGTCGCTGATGACTGGGAAATCACACCGCACCTGGTACATAAATTTTCCAACTGTGCATTGCCAGTTTACATCCTACATTACTTCAAATAAAGCTTGGTGGAAGTAGTGTCAACACTGCTACTGAGAGGTAAAAGGCCATAATTACATACTGTGTAAAAATCAATGTTCTGTAGTACCTAATAAATATTTTTGTTAAAATGGCTTCCAACCAACCAGATAACGAACCCCAGGACTACTTGTCACTTTACATGAGAGTTGGAGGCAGCGAGAGGCAGCTGAGGACCATGTGATGACACTGCTTATTCAGTGGGATTAAGTCAGGTTTTGGATGGAAAGTGATCAACTCAGCAATGTCCATGCCAATGCATCTCCTGCATAGAAAAGATGAGAATACAAGAGTCCAGAAAAGAGAATATAGTAAGGAGAATATATGTAGTAAGGAGTCACCTGAAACAAGCCTGAAAGAAAGTACATGATATATCGACAGCTGAGAAGTCAAGGCTACTGGTATTGGTATTGTTCTTTTGGTTCATCAGGTATCAAGGTAAAGTTAAAATCAGTTGGAAATGGTGGATACTCCTGATGAGATCCATTGATGAGCCTGAACATGATGTCACACATTTTGTTGATTTCGGCATTGGATAGTGCTGTTGCCAGAACGAAGGACTTAGGTCCAAACTGACATCCAAAGTCGTTCCACAACTTCTCATTCCTTTTATCCATCAGAGGAACCCCCTCCAACCACTCATATTCAGGAACCTCCTCTCACCTGATAGTGGCCCATTGCCAGAATGGACCAGCGCTTGCCATGGCAATGACCTCCACAGCCGAAGGGTAGATGAGAAAATGTATTGTGCAGTAGCACATTGTGTGTTTGCCCTCCCAAGATTGTCATTGTCGGCATCTGGCACATCTCCTGTCAGGATCTCCAAAATGGCGGTGACCCCAACAATATCAGCATCTGCATGTGGAGGTGACCACTTGAATTTGCCAATGAGGAGCACACATTGATGGATGATTTTGATTCCCACCCTAGCAGCATATTGACTCAAGAGAGTCCTCAATCACATAATCTCATCAACTCCCTTTGTTTTGCTCTGCACATATTCAATAGTAGGTTGTTGAATGGTTCCTCTGACAAGGTGTACGACTGCAATGTCTGGTCATGAATCCTTGGCATCAGAATCCTGTACAGTCACCATGCCAGAGTCATAGTCAAAGGACGCCCCTTGATCAACTACAGTACACATCATATGAATAAATAGGTGAACATCAGCATATCTTCAATGGAATAGAGAGAGAGAACCCACTACTATTCAATTCTTTCTGCTTGATTTTTCCTTGTAACTTATCTAACTCTCTCTGTGTTTTTTTGCGTAGATAGCTCTTCCATTGAATGAGCCATACTAGCCAGGACAGGGAGCCTGTCAGAATGATGTGAACCCACTGGAGGGTTGCTTGCTGATTTCTGCAGAGTGATTTTTCTTTCCTCCAAATTCTTGTGACCCGATTCCAGTTCCAGTCTGTTTATCATCCCCCCAGGAACAGATAAGAATGGCTCCATTGCAATGGAGAGGCGATTCAAGAAGGCACATGTGCCTTGGAGAGTAGCAATCCATGCAGGGGCATAGTTGGCCTCAAGCCCACAACTGTTGAATTGCATTGAAAACACGCCGGCAAGGGAGAGTTTGATGTCAGTGGTAGTTGTATATGGACAAAGTGGTTGTTGTGCCATGGTAAAAGATTTGGACAGTGTTGACACTTTCTCTATCCAAATTTAATTTATAGCCTGCAGTTGGTCTGTGGGTTTTCTGTCAATTCTATCAAGTTTTGTCTTGCTCTATTATTCTGGAACTGCCCAACCTGGTCAGCAGGTCACCATACAAAACAAATTTGTCCAGCCCTGATATGGAAATGAAATGGTAAATATGCCTTCAACGTTGGTGGTTGAACATTTTTTTGTACATTTTTTATGGATCATCTACAAAGGGGTATTAGAGTATCATTAAAAACCATTTATTTTGTCCTGAAAAACATTTGCCAATGAGAAATCTGGAGCACTTACTTGAAAGCTGAAAGCACATGTGACAGGCAATGTTTCTGCTGACTGTGCATGGCTGGCCCCTTATCAGAGGTTAACATAGAACATCACATCACATTTCGACCACCAAGGTAGGAACAGGGATGTTGAGCTTCAACCTTCAGCCTTGACATTTTGTGAGAGTCAGTGTCTGATAGGTCTGCTAGGAACAGTGGTGAGAGATATGTTCAACCACAGCTGCAAGTGATTGCCATAAGCATTGAGCGCTTCAGCGAATGAGGTATTCAAATTGGATGCACAGGACATCATACTCCAGGACTCCAGTAAGATTCCTACTGGATTTCAACAATTCTTCCAAAAAAGGCATTTTCCACCTGTTGGACTCCTACTGGACTTTAACAGAATACCAGAAAGTGAATACATTGCCTAGATACTGGATTCATACTGAACTCCTACTGGACTCCTACTATACAATTTACTATTACAGATGCCTAGAGCTAGGTTCAGATCATATGACTTTTAACTAAGGTCATGTGACTATCTTACCTTAGGTGTCATCTTCAAAATCTGAGTCAACATCTTTCTCCTCTTCCATATATGGTCTCTTCATCTGCTTTTCCATCACATATTGGCTGTGGTAAAACAACATAGAATGCAAGAACCAGTCAAAATTGCCTTGTGTCATCCTCTTCAGGATAGACTCAAATCCACCTATCTAGGCATTTAACTGTTCACAGGCCTGTTTTAAAATTCATTAATTCTTGTATTTCATCACACTTTAACTCAAACTTACCTGTGTGTTGAATGGTTGCTTGTAGTATGATCGACCATGTTTGTCTTTTTCAACAACAACAAGGTTTGGAGCTGATCCATTCAATGGTGCAGGATTACACCATTTTCAACAAATATAATCACCAACACAGTGATTAATATAGTGGTACTATCAACAATGAACCAAGTTGTATGTTTCCAAATTCTGTCCCAGCTTCCATTGCTTATTGCAAGCAATAACAACACCACAAGGTGCAGTAATTGTCTCAACACAATTATATTAGTAAGGTGTAACTTGTATATTAAATTATGCTTAGTTTATGTTGATTATTATCTATTTCACTGGGCTCATCAGTCAAGTGTGTGCCAGGCTTTGCCAGGGCATCCCAGTGCACCTCAGGGTGCCCTGAGGTTACCTGTGGTGTGCCCTGAGGTCACCTGTGATGTGCTGTGACAGCCTGAGAAAAGGCTAACATGTGAGCTTTTCCCAAAACAAAAGTGATTTTTGTGATGTATATAAACTCTGTTTGTAAATAAAAAATGCAAAGTGGACAGTCAACACTCTCCTGTACCTTTTTTTTTCTGAGAAGTCTGTCAGAAGTCCAGCAGAAGTCCAGCAGACTAACAAGTTAGTAAGTTTTCTACTCCTGCCTTTGTTTCCATTGGAAATCCAGAGGAAGTCCAGCAGAAGTCTAATGGACACAAAATTCCAGCCAGTCCAACCATTTCTTGCTTTTGAGTGGTTTGAGTGGACTTTCACCAATGATACCAGACATCTACAAAACAAGCCTAGTCATCTAAGTCAAAGTCCTCATCCAGCATCATCCAGATACATCTCATCCTCACTATCATCCTTCTCAGCAACTTCAAGGTCTACCTCAGCCTCATTATCTATATTTGAACTTGGTGGAACAACCAGAGGAAGGTTCAATACAGTCGGAAAATGAGAAGCCCTTGATGGAGTGATACCTTTGCTTCCCAGACATGGAAGCCAGTATCAGGCACACTGCTCAGCAATGCGACTACATATAGCTGCTTGCTTATTAGTGTAACCAGAGATCCTGCTTGATACTGTAGCATCAGTGTGAGTTCTTAAGGAACTCCATTCATGCCACCATGCTGCCCTCCAGTTGAGATATTCAATAACATGCCTCATTTCTTCCTGAACCAATAAAAACTCTTCTTTCCACCTCATCATATGTGCCCTTGCCTTTGCCTATTTGACACACATACTGTCGGTGAACTTGGCTTCCTGGTCTGTCTGGTTGGATCCAGTCATGTGTGGCAAGCCATATCCAGGAAGGTTCGTACCAGTTGTTTGATGCCTTGTTCACCTCTTTTCCTGGTCCACAGATATCCTTGTCCTTAAGTTCATGCAGCAAGGTAGACCATGAGCTGTTCAGGTCAAGGACTCCTAAATAGTGTTTAAAGGTTCAGTCCATAGGACCGCAAAAAACCGGTGGACCGAACTGAACCGGACCATGGTCCGGTCTTTTTTTCGGTTGCAGTTGCCCCAATTTGGGGTTGGTCCAGTTGCCGGTTGCCTCATTTCGAAAATCTTTTAAAACCGTTCAAAGACCGGTTTTAATCGGTTGCAACCGGTTAAACGGTCACGTGCGTTACATAGCCTTATAACCACGTTTATTGCCTTTTATTGGGTTTTTGTTTCATCAAAAACGGTTAAGAATTGAGAAAGATATAACCAAATCCATATTTTACCTGAGTCTCTATGAGATGTAATTCGGTTTCAGTCATAGCTATGTCAAATCTTCATTAAATCTCTTGAAAATTGGTAGAATGATGGGTATTTATATGCTTTACTATTTTATATAACCCGTTTATTTTTCAGAGTAATAATGGTTGAGATACGGATGGTTTATATTGGTATAATAAATTATACGCAAAAAAACCGGTCTGGATCGGTCTGAACCGGTATCATGGACCGCAAAAGACCGGTCCTAGGTGGTTCGGTTTGGTTCCCTCAATATCTGGGTTGGTCCTTGACCGGTTGCGGTCCACGGTTGCGCGTTTTCGGGGCAAAAAACCGGACTGAACTGAACCTTTAAACACTACTCCTAAAGCACGCCAGGCAGCACAATAAGCCTGTGCATGTCGCTTGATTTTGTTGTCGAGGTGCTTGTAGAGCGTGACCATTTTCGTGTTTGGTTTATTCCCAATCCCAGAAGCATTGAGGTGTTTGAACTGCCAAAGGTTACTAGTGATCATGATACCCCTAACATTATTGTGGCAAGAGAGAAAGTTACACAATTGGAAGTGGAACTCTGGAATGTTGGTCAGTGGGCCACCATTCTGATTGATACAGGTGAGAGAATATTAATTATCTGGCAGACTCATGAAGTTATGCAAGACCCAAGAAGGGAGAAGATAAAAACCTATTACTCCCGGAATCCCATCCATTTCCACCTCCCTGACACACCACAAGACTTTCTCTACATGATCTTGAAATCCATTTGTGGGATGACAATGGAAAGAGGTTTTATGTTCCTGCAAGCTCAACTCGAGTGTTCAGACAATGAGATGCAAACTTAACTGAGATGTGTGGTCAAAATCCCACGTCTTCTTTCATATTTGTGGATCTGATAACAATCCCTATGTTCGAAAAACTCAAGCTGATCAACTTCAACAAGTTGACTGAATGGCAGCTGACTGTTCTGTGTTGGCTTTCCATCTTTATGGACCTTGCTAGGGATTCTTATAAATACACTGCCTTTCCCCCTGCTGCACAGAACATCAAATCAATTTTGGACATCAAAGAACACAGCAGTCCAGACACTCAATTACTTTATGGTTTCCTGGGACCTGAGTTCCTTCGCATTTGCAAATCCTGACAAGACAATCATTGATGGTGTAGAACATGACAATTGGGCAGAATCATTTCAGAAGTACTGCACAGAGGTTCGTCAAAACACGGAAGAATGGTCCACCAAGTCAACCTGACCAAGGAAATTTTGTGCCATTCTTAATGCCTTGACAAGACGAATCACATATATTCTTGACAAAGCCCATAAGGAGTATCCATATATTTCCAAGCTCAGATCTCCTCTCCCTCTTGCCTGCGAAACATTTAGCAAAGATATTGGAACAAGTCTCCATGAAAATGAAAATGCTTGGGGATATTATCTGGGAGTGATATTTGCAATATCTAATAATCTGTTGGATATTGCAGACTGACCAGTATTTTTGTATTTCTACTGATGACTGGACTCTTTCCAGATTCTTACCTTGTTTGAGCCAACCATTGCTATGCAGTTCTGACCAATTGCCACAATGAAGATATCTGGTAATAGTGATTTCATTGATCTGAGTAAACACTCAGACATTGATGTAGAGGATACACTTGCTAAGGTAGGTGATTATTCCATTTTCCTTTATTTCAACTTACCAGAGATTAGGTCTGGGCAACAAGAAATAATGCAATTGCAACCATTGGGTCAATGACCTCTGAACTGAAGGAGTTTCGCTTTAAAGGCATAAGGCCAACTCTGGTAAAGGCTGTCTCTGATGAGGACAAGAAAAATAACAAATTTAATCAAGATGCTCAGATTGCATTTGGGTTGGTCCAGATCCTGAATGCATGGGTTCGTGCCCAGCGGAAACTTGATATGAAGATTCTGTATGTAAACTCACACCAGAGAAAAGTGCCTTCTTGCAGGAGGACCTAAAAAAGAAGGGTTGTGCTCTTCTACCATCAGACCAAGCTTTACCTGATGTTGACACATTTAACCTGGATAAGGTTGCTGGCTTGACAGACAACTACATTGAGGAGATTTCCAGCTGCATAGACATCCTTTTGCATTCCTACAGCTCCTGAGCCTCTCAAAATCAAAGCTCCACACAGTACTTTACCCTCCCTGGGTTATTCCATATGGACTCCATGGAAGGGGGGTAGATTCCATGAAATGGGGGATGGATTCCATACTTTTCCAGATGGATTGGAGTTTGACAAAGAAGGCATCACAATTTTCTGCAGCAACTCCCCTTGGTCCACACTCCCCATGCCAGGTAACTCTCTGACACTTATGCCTTTGCCACTTCCCAAAATACCTGAGCACCTTGGCCCCAGCAGCTTCTCAGAATTCATTTCCCCTCTCATTGCCAGCAACCCTGATGCAACTCCTCCACAAACTAGCCAAACAATGGATGCCAAGCACCAGAGCAAAGAAAATCACAAGGCAAAGAGGAAGGCTGAGCGTGTGCTGGCCAAGAAGGACCAGTCGGCATGCAACTACAAACTGTGTTGGAATATTGGAAGAAACCAGATTAAAGGATGCTGACACTTGATTTGGGCATCAGGAATTCTGTTCTGTCTTGTTCTGTGAGCATTCCTTCTGGGTGATTCCGTGGAATTGTTTGATCAATTTGGCAGGGCCCTCTGCCAAATTTGATTCCTCCGGAATTCTGGGAATTGTCCAGATTCCAGCAGGAATCAGTGGAGGACAATAAAGACCTCTGTGGCAGCACCAATCCTCTGGCCTTTGCAGGAGCTCAGTCAGGGTAGGTACCTGGTGAGGAATGTTGACATATCCTATAGTGGGGGGCAAACACATCCAGGGGTACTTTGCCACAAAGCTTCTGAGGCAGAGGCTTTGGAGTCCCTTCTGAGGAACAAAGCTTTGGATCAACTTGCCAGCCATCAATCAGGCAAGTACATACCTCTCAGCATGATCTGCCCCATAGGTCTAACAAGCTCCAGCCATCCTAGCAGCATGGGCACCATGTCTCTATTCCTATTATGCTGACCACCTCCAGCAGCTTCTGGACCATGAAAAAACCCTCCATTGAACCTTCAATAACAGCATCTTTGCCATCTGATGCTTCAACTTTGGCCTGTGAACTGTCTGCTACCATCACAAAGACCACACCAACCTGCCCTATAGCCTTTGTGCCCTCACCTCCCTAAGCCCACTTAGTTCTTTGGGAGCTTCAGCTGGTGATAGAATTTCTGCCAGGCTCAACAATTCTCCTCCCATCATCCATGGTCACACACTCCAACACTCCCATCTAGCAGGGAGAAACACACTATTCCTTCACACAGTACATCACTTGGGGTACCATCTGTTGGGTTGATTATGGGTTTCAGACCACAACAGATTTCTTCAATCAGCTTTCAGAGCAGGACTTAGAAGCAGAGAGGGCCAAGGCATCACTCGATGGGGTTGTCTCTTTTCTGTAAACTTGACAAGCTTTAATGCAAATACACAAAATACATGCCAGTGTATCTTGTGTAGAATTCAAGAAAGGAGGTATTCAAAAGTGTCACACAGAATTCAAAATAGTATGCAGGGGAATTGGAAATCTCAGTCCATGGCTGAGTTTCATGCCACCTTATGGTATTCAGTCAATAAAATGCTTTTTGACATAATGTTGCTTACCTGGCATAGGGCTAAGAAGAGATTTGTTGCTTGAAACAGCAGAAATCTCCTTCCCCAGGTATAACTGCAACTTGTTTCTTCATGGCATTGAAGATGTATTGGATAATATATGATCCAAATTCTCCCCAGATCTTAATATCCAGCTTTGTTGCCTTGTCTGGGTTATCCAGCTTCTCTGACTTACTATCTCAGAAAATAAGTTTTCTTCCACAATAGAGCCACTGTTCCCAGAAATTGATTAGAACAAATCAAAGTTGAGCAGTGCTTGAGAGTATACACATAGCCACTGCCCCAAGGGTGATGATGTCATTGGGAATTGAGCCTGCAAACACATCTCTGGCCACAACTTTGTAATGCTTATTGTGCAGATCTTTCAGGCTTAGTGGCAATGGACCATTGAATAGTTGTTTTAAGAATTTGGCGAACACTTCGTCTTGAACTGGGTGGTGCTAATAAGAGTTGCAGATGGATTGAAAAGATTCAAGCTTTGGAGTGCACTTCGGAGTTAAACCCAGGGCAGGTTATGGCAAGCGTCTCACCTGCTCTATCTGGGTGTTCAAACTCTGCCTGTGACTGGAGTGGCCCAAATTGTTTGAAAAATTCTTGATGTCCCAGGTGTTTTAAAGCCGAGGTCATATGCTTTGTAACAAAGTCATAGAGGCCCTTCCCAGCCCTGACCCACTTGTCCATGATGTGTTTGAAGTAGCAGTTTGATGTCATGGGCTGGCTGACACCTGGGCATGCTGGGTCTACATACACACAAACAGAAAGTCATGAAAGTGGGCATAAATGGCGGGACAGTTACGTAGTTTAGGTAGCTCATACCGACAAAAAGTCCTGGTCTACATACTATCGTCATGTAACGTGATTGTTAGATTATCACTGAATAATCATTGACATACACACACACACTGAAAAAGGCTTTAATTCACAATGAAAGCAAAATAACAAAACTGACTGGTTTCGCAAACCACATTTCTGTTCTTATGAAAGGCCATGGAAGCCATCCAAGCCTCTTCACAGCGTGTTTGGGTTCCTTCAGCCTTTTCGGCCTGGGCCATGGAAGATGGGTGGTACTCAACCCATGCTGAGAGAAAGTCCATGCCTTGCAAGAACTGACCTTGGAAACAGTATGTTTTGCTTAAGTAGTGTTAAGTTCATGCAGTTGATAGAGAGAATGGAGAAATGCTACCTTAATTGCTGGGGAATTGAGGACATAGATGGAATCATCACTGCCTTCCTCACTCTCATCCTCATTCCTGTCCTCATCTGGGTCCTCATTCTCATCTGAGATCAACAGATAAGCAGTTTTCCCCAACTTTATATATAAAGAAGAAGGTGACAGTAACTCTGAAATGCTGCCATTTGCACTAACGACTAATACAGAAAAGTATTTACTACTGAAATTGAGATAATATTTTAAAAGATCATAAGCAAGTTACCTTTATAAACAGAAAGTTGAATGGCTGGCTCTCACATTTTGAAAAAGAAACAGGGGAAGTTACAAGTACATATAATGTATAGCTGCAATGGCCACTAATACAGGAAACTATTTACCACTGAAATTGGGAGAATGTTTAAGAAGATCACAAGTGAGTAGGTTTTACTAAAAGGAAATTGAATAGCTGATTCTCATACTTTGAAAAAGACACACTCAAAGGGAGGGAGGGACATGGGGGAAGCTACAAGTATAATGTATAAGTGCATGGCTATTTTTCACAAAAGTTGAGGATAACAATTGAGGTAGAAATGACAAGGAGCACAAATAAGGCAGTCTTAATAGCAAAAAGTTGAATTGCTGCTTTTCATATTTTGAAATGGACACACCCTAAGTGAGGGACATCCAGAGTGTTATCAAGTGAAGGACAGAGGCAAGGAGGTAACCACATAAGGAGATTATTTGTCAGCTTATCTCCTTATATAGTAGAATGGTCCTAGTGGAGGAAAAGAATCTTACTATGCCTTACCAAATAAGGCAAATTCCCTTTTTTATCCATACAAGCTTTAGACCCACACCTACGGTGCACATTATGCCTCTGGTGCTGGTCACAGCTTGCCGGGGGGCAAGCCCCCTGGACCCCCTGGTACACATGTTTAATCCCAGTCTTGGTTCACATTTTTTATCCCAGTTCCAGTGCACATGTTTGATCTACACATATTTAATCCCACTTCCTGGTACACATATTCTGGTGCACATTTTTTGTCTCAGTTCTGGTGAACATCTTTCATCTGAATTATTGATGTTAGACTTAGACCTGAACTTATAGTATGGCACTCGCTTCACTTGGCCATGCCTTGCCAGAGGCAGCTGTCCCCCAAGTACACTGTGATATGTTTAAGTCCAGTTCTGGTACATATCTCCCTGTTTTGGTACTTACAATTTATTTGGATTTGAATTTTTAAAAATACACACCTGCACCTATAGTGGCTGTACTTTGCCAGCTTGCCAGAGGCAAGCCCTTGGACTATCTGATACAAATTTACCAGTTGTGGTGTACATACTTTTCTTCTGCACCTATCACCTGGACCCCTGGTACACATGTTTTATCCCGGTTCCAGTGCACATGTTTAATTCCACTTCCAGTACACATATTTAATCTCCATTCTGATACACATTTTTTATCCCAGTTCTGTGTACATCTTTCATCTGGATCATCAATGTTAGACTTAGACCTGGACACAGCACTCACTTTGCTTGGCTCTGCCTTGCCAGGGGCAGGCTGTCCCCCAGTACACATGTTTAATTTCAGTTCTGGTACACATTTTTACTCCCTGTTTGATACTTACATAAATTTACACTTTAACCTGCATCTATGGTGTGGCACTTACCACACTTGGCCAGAGGCAAGCCCCTTGGACTAGGGACTGTCATGGATACATCTGGGTATTATCCATACCCGATCTGTGGATTTTCCCACCCATGGATTGGATAAGCCACAGTATGGATATATCCGTGGGTATAGCAGTGCAGACCAGCCCTCCATCTATCTTTGTCAGTTCTTTGCCATTTTCCACGAAAAAATATGCGTTAGAAAGCTGTCATTTAGGAGAATTTTGTTATAACAAAATTCACTGTAATATCTTACATGAACTTCAGTAGAAGCTCATTCTTTAATAATGGTGAAGAATGAAAGGATCAAGCCTCAGTTCATAAAAATATCACTGGCATCTTCATAAAAAGCAAGCATCATAATTTATATATGAAGTAAGTCTTCAAAATTGGGAAAAGTCAACTATAAAAATTCTAAATTATGAACCCTGTTGCTGATGATTGCCCAAGGTTGGGCATGAGGGAAACTAGGCTGGTTAGTAAGGAAAAACTGATTTGATAAACTCTTACCTGATGATTGGCCGACATCGGGCACAGTGGGCATTTCATCCATGGCCAGACTCAACTTGGGTTGAACTGGGGGTGTTGGTGTTGGTCGTTCAATGACGATGGCTGGAGTTGCCTGCACCTTGCCTTTGTCAGGTCGGGAAGAAGTACCGACCTCGGCGTCCACACCCAAGGTCATGTCCACCATCTCTGAATCCTCCTCCTTTATAGACTCGAAATCGAACGACTCTCCCTCAGAAACCTTGGCCATTTCTACGTCCTGCTTCGTTGCCTTCATCTTGGGTCTTCGAACGACGACCACACTTTCCTCCTCTCCCCTGTCCTCAGCTCCCTCTGCCATTCGTTCCGACTTCTTAGCCTTCGATTTCTTGGCTTTAGCACACCGCTGGTGCTCTCTGTGCATGGGATGGTCTCTTTGTCCTTTCATTTACTGCAGGCTATGCAGGGCTCAATGGCAAGCTTGTATTCTCCCGTTTTAATGGCCGCATTCTGCTTTTCAAGCTTCTCTGCTGATGCCTGGGCCTTCAGTGCCGCCTTTGCAGCTGTCTCTGGGCTAACCCAAGGTGTCGCTTTGGACCTGGGCTTTACTGTTATCTCGACAACCAGCTGTTGTTTCGACCTCAGCTTGGCAGTGTTGCCCGAGTTTCATGAATTGGGCTTCGGCGTGGGCGTCTCCTCATCGCTGCTTTCCTCAATGTGTTGTGCGCTGACGATGTGGGTCTTCCTCGGCCGGATGTCCAAGGAGTCACCTCTCCTCTTTCTCCCACTGCTCATGCCGGCCTCGGGTTTTGCTTGACTTTGTTGAGGTTTGGGCTCAGCTGGCTTCTTTTCTGGTGCTGGGCCAGCTTCTGGAGTTGATCACTTCAGTCACCCAGTGCCAACTGACTATTAGTCATGCAAACTCCATGTAAGTTACATGAC